TATACAATTTTTTTCTTTTTTGATTTTTTACCTGGATTACTGAGATGCATCAGGACACTTTTTATTGCAGCTCCGCACATTTCTAGCAAAACGTCTTCAGTGACCAAAAAGAAGTTGGGTGATTTTAAACTTTTACATTTTTTATACGTTTTTCACCAAGCAGCCAAGACTTCCTCATCAACCTTTAAACTGGTCAACATTTCTCCAGGTTTTTCCAAAGTGCTTTGATTTTATATTCATTTTCTGTGCAGTCTTTTTACAAACCATGACAGCACATTGTGGCTGTACAGGCTTAAAAATGAGGACTATGAACAAATAGAGGATGACTAAGTATCAGACGTAAAAATAATAATAATTAAAAAAAATACTATCTGCAGTATAAGAATATTATCTGAAAACCATGGTTTTGAGAAAGAAAAGAAAAGAAAAGAAAAGAAAAGGAGCCTTAAAATAAAAATGTTTTCATCAAACTGTGAAGCCTTTGTTTCTCCTACATCTATTGGATTTACTTCATAAAAGCAACAAAAGCAGTTTCTGTAAGAGTTTGCAGCTATAGCCACTGAAAAGTTCACATATCGTAGAAGTATCTGTGTTCTTATTTGTGTCTCTTACAACAATTTTGTCCAGACTGAAGCAGATAATTTTTAGAAAGAGTTTGATCATATTAGCGCTGCTGACTGACTTCCTGTTTTGAGGTCAGTGCGTCCTCTCCGGTCAGCAGATTAGACAGAAGAACGTGTTGTTCGGTCACATATGTTTGCAAACAACTACTTTTTTCTGAATACTAAAGATAACACACTGTTCCTCTGCCCCCCCCCCCTTTTTTTTTCAATGAAAATCAGAGGTATAACCAAGTGAATGAAAACTTCCTGAAGAGCGACCACCCTGCAGTGGCTCGCACCAAACCCCGGCTGGTCTCGCCCTTTCCCGTCTCCGACCGCACGTTCGGCTCTCCCTCTCCCCCCATCGGCCTCACCTCCTCCCCGCTGAGCCCTCCCAACCAGGCCCAGAGGCTCCGAGAGCCTGACACACAGGAAGTCATAAATTCTTTTAACGAGTACATCATCCCCATCCCAGACCCGAAGCCGGATGAAGTCTTCAGCGACGCGCCATCAGAAAGCCCTGCAAGGTATGGAACCAAGAGGTGGTCCGAACACAAACGCTGCACTGGAGATAAATATGTACCTGCTTCACCAGAGCAGGTTTATTTTTTCCCCTCACCACACAACCACTCATCCAGATGTTGAGCTGAGACAGTGGCTGTATTATGTAGGTGGAAACTGAGATGACTTTTTATAACTTAAACAAGCACGTAGCCAAGCAACAGCTTGAAAACACAAATATATTTTAGCCGCACGAATGTGAGGAAGCATTTAATTACAGCTCTAAAATAGACGTTTATTATTATATATTGAGCATTGCCTTTCATTACGACTGATACTGATACTTTTGGACAGTTTAATTGTTATTCTGGTCATAAAGAGCTCACAAGTGTCCCCCTCATGAGACAAAACCGAGATGAAGTGTTGATAGGGTCTAATTTTAGTATTTATATCACCATCATTAAAGTCTTACTTAAAAGATCACTTTACAAAATATTTTTATTTAATAACTAGAATTTTCATTTTCTTTACAAAGAACTTGGACAAAAGCTGCCAGCATTAAATTTGTACGGTCGTTAATGACTGAATGCATTTGTCTCATCCTGTCTTAGTTTCAGATAACTAATTGAATCCAGTGTTTCCATCCTATAAAGAGTTCTGTGTGCTCCAGTGAAGGTAAATGTGTCTTCCCGCCCACAGCTCTCTGGCTCCGGAGGAGGAGACCGACTCGGTGTCCCACGGCACGGATGAAACTCTTCCAGAGGACGACCGGCTGGAGGACACCAGCGAGAAAGACGCTCTGCTGGGCTTCACGGGGACGCCTGAGGTAGAAGACAGCTTCCTGTAGCCACATGTGAGCACCCCGAGGGAAACCCAACTGAACCTAACTGTAGCAGAACTGAGAAGAACTCTCAGGATTTTCACTAAAAGAACTCAAAACATCGTGCCTCCTTTTGAGTCTTTCTGAACTCCAAACACATATACACTACACATGTGGTATTCTCTCTGTCTTACACTTTTGGAATAGCCATGTTATATGAATTAAATCACATTCCTGTACAATCAGTTTAACCAAAGTAGTGATGCTTTTACTGTAGATATTTTATCCAAGTGCTTATGAGGCTTTCTACTTTAATATTCTGATCATTCTAACAATTTGACTTTTATGATGTAACTGAACAGATAACATATTGGAAAACGGGTACGCTTTTATTGTGTAGTTGTAAAATTAAAAAAATTTCAAACACAAGACAGCAAAAAACTGTTTAAATGGGAGAAATGCTTTGCTGTATTCATAGCAATTGTAAACTCTTTTAAGACTATGACACTACATTAAGTCAGTGATGGAGTTAAGGAGACATATCCTGCTTATAAATCCTTCTTTTTCATATTTAAATCATCCAGATGGAGTCTATATATAGTGGAACTGCAATGCTTTGATCTGAATTCCTCCTTATTGTAGCTCCACAAACCCCTCTTTCACCCGTTTTGCTGAGGTGTGTCTCAGATCAACTTGTTTTGAGACTGTCTCTTTAAATCCAAAAGAGTCGCTTCACACCCCGCCCCCCCACCAGCTTTCAGAGCGGTCTATTGTACTTTCATAGAGGAGTTTACGACTATACAACAGCGTATAAATTTTTTATTTACAAATAATTAAAAGATGTAAACAAGAGGAGACTTTTCCATCTGGCCTTACATGTTGGAGGCAGAGGAGAATGAAGACGACCATCTAGTTTAGTTGGTACGTCCAGACCTTATTCGACAGTCCCCTCACAAATAATTTGATGTAATAGTTCAGAAAACATAAAAGAAAACAGAGAAAACTGAATAGGTTGAAAAATATGACCCAAYCAGAATATTAAGATATCTATGCAACACAAGTGGAGATTAAATTAAACTTTTCTCCTAGAGACTCCAAGTACACAACAAAATGTGTTTAATGGCTAAAAAGGTAGATTTGCATGATATGTCCACTTTAAACTTCTGTTTTCTTTTTGTATTTACTCTGGGTACTATCAAGAGCCTTTTTCTTTTTTTTTATAAAATGTTGAGTTTTTTTTAAATTGCGATTCTTTAAACCTGAAACGCAGTCAGATTTCAGGGGCACTGTTTTAAAATAAGAAGTCTTTCCTTGTATTTTTTTAATTTTTTCAGAATAGATTTTGAATTTTACTATTTTTTGTCTCTCTGTGTGTGTGTATGCTTAACTTGTAGTTCTGTGTCAGATTTGCACTTTATTTAGAAACGAAAAGTTAAAGACGTGAAGTTTTTCTGTGAATGATAGGAAGCTGAAGTGCAGAGCCACAAGAGCATAAACGTCGACTTGTTAGTGGTTCTGAAGTCACATTTCTGTGAAGACAAGTGACTCTCTCAAGCAAAAAAATAATAATAATCCAAGCAGCGTATCACTGCCTTAGCACAAGATGGCACACGTGAGTGTCTTTGTACTGATGAAATGTTTGTCTCGCAGCTATCTCTGAAGGGCTACTGAATCTCTGGATCTCAACAGCTCAATGAGTAAATGTGATGCTTTTGTTGTTGTAGCTTTTCCACTTACATCATATTTCTTCTTTCACTTCTTAGTACACCACTTAAAACAACACAGCAATTATTTCCTGTTCAACTCTTCAGTGTAAACGGCACAAGATCACTGAGTCACAAGCTACGGTACCAAAGCTCTTCTTAATGTTTACAGTGTATTTTTACATGTGTCTTTTTGTATCCTGTATATGTGTCAATAAAAGGGTATTATCACAGTAGTTTTTGTGAGATATTGCTAATCTTTGTTTCAAAATGTTCTGTTTTTTTATGCTTTAAACAGCTCAAAATTAGAAACTAAATAAGTTTTAAAAAAAAGATTCTAAGATTAAATTTATTTTTGGCAGCACAKTGGTTTAGTGGTTATTCTCACCGCAAAAATATCCTGGGTTCAAGCCCCACATTGGGCCTGGGGTCTTTCTGATTGCATCTTCCTGTGTTTGTGTGGGTTTTACTCCAGTTTTCTGTACCAGTCTAAAAACACGTATTTAGGTTGCCTTCGAGCGCAGGCTTCCCGATGTGTGATTCTCAGAGGGATTTGACTGGTTAAATAAAGATTAAAAGTCAAGAAATTAAAATAGATGACAGATTTATGAAACTTAGTGAGTGGAGTTTAGTTGAGACTGAATTGAACTGCTGCTGTCTTAAAACAACTCCAGTTTCAAATATTTTGCAGTGATTCATGAGAACCGTGTATTAAAAAGACACAGAAATATATGAAATTTTTCTGGTTAAAGATCGAGTCAAGAAATTAAAGTAGCTGACTGATTTATGAACCATAGCGATATGATATCTCTGTTGTGAGTGCCCCAGCTGCATCAGAAATATTAAAGCTACAGCTACTGCTAATAATGCTTTTAAATAAAGACAGGATTCTTCCTAAATACCTAACATGAAACTGACAACAGTGAAAAACTAAAGGCTTTATTAAAGAAGAAAAACAAAAGCTGACATGGCAACAGCTCATTACAAAAGCCAACTGGAGAAGATACTGAGGTGAGGAGAACAGGAAAGGGCAAACAGCACAACAATGCTAAACAATAAACAGGTTGGTGCTAATGAGGGAGGTGGCTGCAGATGAGACTAATAGGAATGGAGAACAGGTGTAGTTGGCCTTTGGGAGAAACCGGAGTACCCGGAAAAAACCCACACAAGCACAAGGAGAACATGCAACAACTGCACAGAAAGACCTGGGGTCCAAATTTGAACGCAGGACCTTCTTGCTGTGAGGCATCAGTGCTAACCACTGAACCATCGTGCGGCCACCAAGGCTGGCTATGGGCAACCTAGGCAATCACCTAGGGCAGTGGTTCCCAACCTTTTTAGACTTGTGTATCCCCTGAGCCATTTTGTCATACCACAAGTACCCCCTCAGTCAAACATGACGATGATTCTTCAAAACTATAATGTATAACAGCTGATTATTAAATGAAAATTACTTATTTAACCCCCTAGAACGTTTAATACTCAGGCATTTTATTCTTTTCAACTCAAATTAAACATGAAAATAAAAGCATTGCCGAGAAAGTGAATAAGTAATTAAACCAGGTAATGGCAGGTGCAGGAAGCAGCCGCTTCCAAAATACATCAAATACCCAACATGAGCAAATTCTGTATGAATCTGCATTTTATACTGGATTCATTTTGTGTTAATTTCATGATTCTGTTTGCATCTTCTGCACTGCGGAAATCATAAGGCCCTACAAATCTCAGTCCTATTTTTATTAAAAAAAAATTTTACACACATGGGAAATTTTTCCACGTACCCCTGGTTGGGAATCACTGACCCAGGGTACCATCTGCTGGAGAGGG